CATACACACACGTCCAGGAAATACAGACAAAGGATATGAACAGTACTGTGCTTGCTTCTGCAGAGAGGCCAGGCATACAATTAGCCTAGGACCAATGAGTACTATCAACTTCCCACCTTCAGAGCCGCTATGTGACCCTAAGTACTATTCCTTTTGAGGGTTAGGTCCTGGAAGATGTTCTTTTTAGCAACAGCATAGGAAAGGGATAAGTCTCCAAGTGCCATTCTGTGTCGGTGGGTAAATTTTGTCCCAGGTCACTGAAGTTAAAAGGGCCTAGTCTTCTGTCCTTTAAACCCAAGTCTTGTTCCTGCCAGCACTGTGGAGTACCACCAGGGCACTCTCTTTTTCTAACCCCTAAGGAATCCGCTTACAGACCAGACAGGCGGGCTGTTCTCATTAGCATGTTTATCATAACATACTGACTTCTATGTGTTTGGTTTTGGAGAAATTTAAGGTTATCTTAGCCTGCCATATTGCTAGCTCTCAACAACTGTTTTTTGGAGAGGGTTAATTATTATTATTTTTAAAACTCCCCCCTTTTAGAAAAATTTCACTTTAATAAGACAACAACAACAAAAAGTTGCCTTTTCAGACATTAAATAGTTTAGCCCTATTGAAGAGGAAAGCATGCCTTCTCCATTTACTGGTTTCATTTCATTCATCTAAATTACAAAAGCAATACATGCTCACTGAAATAACACAACACAGACGTATAAAAATTGAGCCTTTCCTTCCCCTTCTACCAAACAGAACACTGTTAACAATCTGGCATATGTCCTTCCATACTTTTCCTATATAAATATAGCTAAATATATACAGTTAAAATGTAATGAAATAAATATTCTATAACTTGTTCTGCTTCTTAGTAGCATACTTTATGCTGTGAACATCCCTTCTCCTACTTCAGTTAAAAGGAAGATACTTCATTAACCCATTACACAAATGATAGCTGAATTTAACAAAGCATGATTCTGTTATTGGTGGAAATGGAGTATCCCTCCTCCCACTGAGTGCTGGGGGTCTGGTCCTTACAATATCTCAAGAAAAAGAATTTTCTGAGACTCACACAGGAGGATGAGTAATTTTTATTTGCGTTGAGTTACATCCCTGGGTTTGCAAAGTCCCATTTCCCTTAATCCAGTCCTGGAAGAAGTGCAGCTGGGGATCCAGGGCCCAGAGTTTCCGTTCTTTGTTGGAACTGGGTCCGGTACAGCNCCAGGGCCCAGAGTTTCCGTTCCTTGTTGGAACTGGGTCCGGTACAGCATTAGGCTAGCTATAGTCTATTAGTCCATTGTGTGGGGTCCACATGGCTGTGGACCATGTGGGTGAATGCAGGGGAGCCAAGAGAGTGCCAAAAGAGCCAGGAGCCAAGAGAACAAAAGAGCGAACTTCTTTGTTCAGAAGATTAAATACCTCAAATCTATGCGCTTGCAGTGGCCACACCTACTCTGCCCAAAGACCAGTTTCCAGGTGTGACTGACAAGTCCCTTCCCTATTTCACCCAGACTTTACCGGCAGCGTCTATTCCCCCCCACCGCCACCCTGTCCAATCCCTTCCCCCAGGGATCTGCAGGGAATGGGCCAGTGGCTTCCTGGGGAGTGTGAAGCTTTCTGGCAAAGCTGCACAAATGGCATGCCTATAATATTTAGCCTTCCCTTTGCCCCCTTCCTGTTATTAATAACTAGGTTAATTACAACACTATCAATCCAATCCCCAGTGGCCCAAGTTCCTCAGACTGTGATACTGCAGGTCCTCTACAAGAAACAAGCTGGTCATCACCGTGCTTTCCCCTGATACAACACAAGCTGTTCTCTATTACATTATATTCTATCATTTAAGTAAGACATTTTAAAATTATGATTAAATGACACATTTCTCCAAGAATTTTAAAATAAAATATTGCAATGTAGCTCTATTACTTTTATAGACTTTGCCTTGTTCAATATGACAGATATCCATTTGCCAAATGCTACATCCATATCAAATTTTGTATCTCCTTGCTTTGACCAAGTCTGGCACATGAAGAGAGCTCAAAAATATTTGTTGAATGCAGGAATAAAACAGTAAAGTGGAAGTATTGTTTGAAAGAAACTATGTCATTATAACATCTCAGCTACAGACACAAGGCTTTATCTATTTCCTAGTTATGTTCCTAGTATGCCCAACTAAAAATGAACCATCAAATAATTACGCTGTTTACACAGTAGCCATCTTTTTTTAAAAAAAAAAAAAATACTATTGGTTGATTCTTTTCAGATTACAAAGTATCTCATTCCTTATAGAAAACATGAAAGGAAAGAAAGGAAGGAAAATGAAAATAGGTGACATGTGACCCAGCCAAGTTGCTTTGTAACAGGGGTTCTACTGCAAACTAATCTGAGGCAGCATTCTGTAAGAGCCAAATCATAAATTAAAACACCACCAGTCCCTGACGTTGGCAAGGTTTACTTAAGCCGACACATACATTTCAGATGTAGTCTGCATCTCTGTATTGTTAGAGTCATTAAGAGCAATTTCAAAGAAAAGAGTGTCTTTGACCTGCCTAGCGACGAAATGCCACACACTCAGCCAGCAGTATTTCTTCCACCTATCCCCACTTCCCAACCCTCCAGAGGACAGTAACAGAAAGCTGAACTTACTAAAAGACAGCTGTAAAACTCTGAAGTACCCTCTGATACAACATAGAGTACACTCAACTTCATAAACATAAACTGAAGAGTGGAGCTTTCAGAAACTGGGAGCATTTTCGGGTCACTTTCTCTCATTCTACGGGTTCTTAGTTGTCTAAGAAAGCCATTTGCCTCTTAACACTCCATAGCTTTAACTACCATCTCATGCTGATGACTCCCAAATCATTACTGCCGGCCCTGTCTTATCACTGACCTCCAAACTTATATAACCTATGGCCTATTTGAACCTATACTTGGAAATTTAAAAAATATCTCAAATGTAGTAAGGCTAACAAAGAACACATGAAATTACTTCCCAAACTTACCTCCCCGTGCACTGGTCTTTCCATCTCAGCAGACTGTTCCACATCCACACGATCGTTTAAGCTTAAAAGCCCAGTGCTGCTCTTAATCCCCTTTGTTCCTTCACTCCCTGCTTGTCATCCAGCGATATGTTCTGTTGGTTTTCCTTCCAAAATGCATCCCAAGTGCAGCCACTCTTCTCCAACCATATTACCAATGACTTTCCCCAACCATCACATCTCTTGCTTGGATTAAGCAATAGCCTTGTAGCTAGTATAAGCTCCAATTTTCTTATCCTTGCTTGAAAAGCCTAACAGAATCTGGCCCCGGCCCACCTCTCTGATTCACCTGCTGTCACTACCAACTCCAACCTTGCCACGGAGATCACGTGGGACCTCTGTATACTACCTGTGCCGTCTGCCAGATGCTCTGACCCCAAGCCTTTGCATGTTGTGTTGCTTCTTAGTATTTAGGTATCAGCTTTGAAAAAGTCATCTTCTTAGAAAAGCCTTCTAGTTTATGAAATCTAGAACAGCCAACCACAATACCTAGCAAAACAATACCTGCATTTACCCTCTGATACATCATTCCACGTATAAGAATCCATCCCAAAGAAACACTGGCAAAGCCCTGGCCAGTGTGGCTCAGTTGGTTGGAGCATCGTCCCGTGCACCAGAAGGTTGCAAGTGTCCAGTCGGGGCACATACCTAGGTTGAGGGTTCGATCCCTGATCAGGGGCATGTAGCTCTCTCATATGGGTGTTTCTCTCTTTCTCTCTCTCTCTACCTCTCCCTTTCCTTCACTACAATAAAAAAAATATACAAAACCACCAATGAAATAATCTTGAAATGCAAACACACACACACAAATATGATCAATCTTCTCTTGATCTAGCTACCAAGCCACAGGAAATATAGGAAGTAGAGGATAATACAATCAGCAGAATCTATAATATAGGGAACTAGCCAGGGTAAATAATCATTTTCTTCAACAAAATACATTACAAGGGGGGGAAAACATATGAAGAGAAATTAGATTCAAAGAAATGTAAGAGAAAAATACTGCATTTACAAGGAATGGCCCTGATTTGGATCCAGATTCAAAAATGCTGTTGAAATAATTGGTCCAGTTTGAAACCTTGTATGTTCCAATACTCAAAAATTATTGTTATTTAGTTATGAGAACAGTCTTCTGAATAAGTATTTAAAATGAGTGCATGTCTTTGAGAGTTATATAAACAGTTATGGATCAATGATATAATGTGGGGGTTCATTTCAAAATAATACGATAAAAGTGAGAAAATGGGTAGGGACACAGCTGAAACATGAGTCAATTTCTGAATCTGGGTGACGGATGAATGGGTTTCATTAGACCAGTGTCTCTACTTCGCATATGTTTGAAGTCTCTCACAATAAAAATTTATTTTAAAACCAACCAATTACTCACTACAACACTTTTCTTTCTCAGCATATTAATGTTACTACAGTTAACCCTTGAACAATATGGGTTTAAACTACACAGGTCCACTTACTTACAGGAGCATTTTTCTCAATAAATACTGTAAACGTATTTTCTCTTCCTTATGATTTTCTTAATAAAATTTTCTTCCCTAGAGCTTACTTTATTGTAAGAATACAGCATATAACACATATAACATATATGTTAACCAACTGTTTGTTATTAATAAGGCTTTGTTATTAAAAGCTTTTGGGGAGTCAAAAGTTATAAACAAATTTTCAAGTGTGCTCCTAACTCCACACTGTTCAAGGATCAACTGTATATAGTTTTTAATTATTCAGTTTGTGTTGATTGCCTAGCACTGAAATAATAGTTTTGTGAGAACAAATGGTTAATCTTTACTGCTACTATCCCCAATGACTAGAACAGTGCCAGATTCTTGATTAATATTCCTGAATGAATAAATAAAACATCTGGGACCTTCTGTAGAGTTTTAAAGATTTTTAACTCTAGGATGGTCAACAAAGCATCACAGGAAATGTGCACGGCAGCGGCCAGCAGGGGCTCACCTTCACTTCGATGAAGTCAGGACACCCCAGAGACACCAGCTCAGCATAGGCTTGCAGTTCATCCACATTCCACGCCTTAACAAGAGTCAGTCTGTAGACAGTGCGTTGTTGCTAAAACAAAGGAAAAGCCAACTTTGTTTTTATCTTGGTAAAAGTTACACCTAGGAAAACTTTCAAATCTCTTCAACCATTGAGAACCCAGGTAAGGTGAAAGGCAGCATGAACTACTATAAATTGAAGTTATATTTTATAGAAAGATGAAAAAAGTGTAAACAAAGTAATAAGATTCCCAACAGCCTTATAAAGGCAAAGATGCTGGCCTATTTCTCTTCTTTCACTCACAATATCTAACACTATTAGGCACCCAAAAGTTTCTTGATAAATACACATTGAATTCGATTTAGTAAAGAACAGTAAGTTGACGAAATAGTTTCAGACTGTCAAAAATTAATTCAAATAACCTTCAGGCTTTCAGGTACCAATCACTCATGTTGTTTATGATAAGAACTTCTAATTATTCTTGTCCTCTTTCCTGCCTTCTCATTATTTAATGATCTCTTGTTGGCAGAAAGAGCACATTTATGAACTGTCAATGTTGCCATTTGTTTACCACATAACTCAAAGAGGTACTGGTTTTCTGAAAAGCAATTAGACAATAGTCATCAAAGCCTTAAAAAAGTTTATACCCTTTGACTTTGCAGCTCCCTTACAGGACTCAAAACAAATTAAAAGTTCAAAGACTCATTTAAACATCTCAGAACAACATCAAAGACAGTTTAAAATCTAAAGCAATGGTGGGGCCAGAACCTGTGATTTGCCTGTAACCAACAGAATATGGCAAGGTGATGTGATGCATGTGCTTATGTGTACATGATTACATCCATTCATATGTAACAAAATCCCTGGTAATATCCACGCTGCTAAACCTCAAGCCATGTTTTAAGTAGCAAGGCTCAAAATACTCTTGAGAAAAAGTGAGGTAAGAGAGGAACAAAGTGATGCCAATCTCTCTACTTTTGTCTATGTTTGAAGATTTCCACACTAATCCATAATTAGTATAAAAGAAGAAACATTTGAGACCTTAAACAAAAAAAAAAACCAAGAGATATTTAGCAAATAATATTAAGCAGCCATACCAGAAAATGTACTCAAAAATTATTTTTACAATGCAGGATAAAATGGACAGAAACCATCCAGATTCCCTTTGCACAGCCAGAATTCACCCGATGCCAAAACCCAACAAAACGGTAGAGTACTGCAGACCAATCTCACTTGTACTTATAGATGCAAAACTCTTACAGAAATTTTAGCAAAAAAATTCAACATGTTAAAAATTCTAGGAATGCAAAGATGCTTCAATATTAGGCTATATATTAATACAATTCAATACATTAACAATTCAACACAGAAAAGCCATGTGATCATCTGCATAGATACACAAAGACATTTGATACAGCTTAAGAACCACCCCTAATTTACATTAAGGATGTACTTTTTAATTTTCAAAACAATAAATATATCAAAGCCCATTTGGTAAACTCAATAATTTTAAAAATACACCCTTAACATAAAGAAAACACTCTCCAGTTAATAGTCAATGTTTCTTAATGGTTTAAAAAACAGAGGCATTTTCATTTAGACTAACAGAAGACTGTCCATTCTATTAATTTTATAAGCACTTCTCTGAAAGTCAAAATCAAAGCAATAATAAGAATTATTGAATAGTATACAAAAAAATAATTACTTGCAAATGATATAACTGGCTTCTTAGAAATCAAAGAAAATTAACTAAAAATCAGATTAAGGAAAAGTAGTCAGTTACCAAATAAAAAGAAAAAAAATGAGCAGCTTTCCTGGCATAGAGTAGTGGGGTAAATGTGGACTCTGGGGCCAACCTGAATCCCAGACCATGCACTAGCTATCTTGAATCCCTGTTCTCAGTTTCTACCAGTGTAAAACACAGGTTTTACACACGATTAAAAGTGCTAACCCCTGTAGCACTTAGAACCAAGCCTGGCAGCAATTAGTCATACCAAGTATTAGCTACCCTATGCCATTCTAGGCTACATATAGACTACATGTACAATTACAAAATACAGGGCAAAGAAAATTCTCCTTACAATTGTAAACTACATCATCTATAAAATGATTAATTTATGAAACAACATGGACAGTGAATAAAATAAACTTTTCTGAGACCATAACAAAAACTCACCTACGCGGAGAGCCATGATGGATTTATAAATATAATATAATTCCAAGAGAAGCTTAAGATTCCTTTGATCAAATAAACTGGCAATGGTATCGACAATAATAACAACAGCAGAAGTCAGCAATGAGTCAGAACTTACTGTATGCCAGCTGTTGTTGTAAGTGCTTAATACCTTAGCAAAAACTCCAATATTTACCTAATCTTTACAACAGTTCTTACAAAATAAGTTTATTATCTTTACATTACAGATATGAAATTGAGGCCTAGAGCTTTTAAATAAATTTCCCAAAGTTACACAGCTGGAAAGCAACAAAACTGGGATATGAACCAAAGTGGTATGAATCCAGGGCAGACTCTCTTACTTTGCTAAACATTTTAAAATTGTAAAATAAACACACAAAGGGAAATGTACATAAAACATGAATGTATAGCTCAAAAAATTAACATAAACACCCGTCACCTAGTCACTTATCAACTCCCTTTGCCCCAGATATATTTAACATCCTGACTTTAACATTATAGTTTAGATTTTTGCCTATGTTTGAAATTTATATAAATGGAACCATATATTCTTTTATGCCTTGGTTCTGTCATTCGATGTTGTATACTCTTAATGCACAAGGACACACATTTTTTTCTTAGGTGTGCACATCATAGGATGGATATGCATTCAACTTTAGCAGATACTGCCAATCTGGTTTCCAAAGACCTTTACCACACTCGCACCTGCAGAGTATCAGAGCTCCAGTTGTTTCTCGTCTTCAACACCTGGTGCGGTGAGTCTTCTCCATTCTAGCTCCTTACACTGCTTGACTGCCTGGCTACTGACGAAGCTGAGCACCTTTCTGGCCATTTGGCTCTCTCTACTCTTATGAAGTACCTATTCAAGCGTTTTCAGTATCTCTCTGTTGGGATATCTTCTGCCTGCTGATTATTTTTCCAAATTCTTTATATATTCTGGATATAAGAGCTCTGTTATAAATGTATTGGGAATATTTTAATCCACTCTATGGCTTTCCTTTTTACTTTCTTCATATGTTTTGATCAATAGAAGTAATTTTAGTACATTTACCTTTCAATATATAACATACTTATGTTCAGATTGCCAAAGACAAAGAGAAGCACTATGGGAATTACTGAAAAAAGAATGTTATTAGACTTGATTTTATTAGACTTGATTTCAAGTTCTCAACTTCACATTCTGGGTCTCCCTGTGTCTGTGGGGAGCTTGCTCAATGAAATGGTTTCAGAGACTTTATTTAAAGTCTGTTTAGAATTAGTTAAAGCAGCTCCTAAAGTCTATAGAAGAAAAGAATGTTAGAATCCAATTAGATTAGATTAAAACAAAAACTGGGTACAGACGCTGCGTGAAAGGTAAGAGCTGGAATTTCCTTTGCAAAAACAAACAAACAAAAAAAACTGTTATTTTATCCTTTTTGTTAAAAAGAAAAGAAGGTAGTGCAAATTGAATTATAACAACTTCATTTGAATGAAACTTATTTCTTCAGTTTGGGGATCAGTAATTCTAACCTGCGTGGCTGGAGGCTGGTAATCCGCAGGATGGGCGGCGCGAAGCTCTGGGACCTGCGAGCGAAGGGCCGCTCAGCCGGTCAGCTGCGCACTGTTCACGCTACCGTGTGATTTAGAAAATATTATACTGTGATTTGTAAAAAATGTCAAGAAGTTGGCATATTATAATTTCATGTATTTTCTGTTTGAGAACCTCAGACTTCCTCCCAGCAGCGGGCACAACAAAGTAATACAGGGGAGAAGGGGAGAAGCGGCTAAAAGTAGCATCACATTAAGTGAGCAGCTGGGCCACGTGGCCAGAGGAGTAGCTGTTTCCCTCTACAATTTACACTGAATGAAACACGAGTTTTAACTGACGTATGTTTCTTAGAAGGAAGCGATGCATGGGCTGAAAATACATGTATGTAGTGAAAACTGAGGTAAAATTTCAAAGGTAAATGTTAAATGCTTATTTTATCAAAGGGAACTGCACGGGGAAAGGGTTAGATGCAAAGTAGGAAAGGCCTGAGTAGTCAGAAAGGCCAGGAGAGGAGAGGCAAAAGTGTAAGAAGAGGGAAAGAGTCAGAGGAGCAATTAAGCTACCGGGCCCTGGAGTCAACTGCGTGGGTTTAACATGAGCTCTGTGCCTTTCTAAAGGAGGAAGAGTAGCAGTATCTGTATCAAATATTACTGTTATAAAGTTAAAAGAACTAAAAGAAATAAAGGACTTAGAACATAGCCAGCACCTGGAAAAGTATATATAAATTCTAGCTACCATAACCACCACCAGCAGCAGCTACACGACTCATTCTTTCACAGAGGCATCAATTCGACCAGTGGCCACTGGGTCCCTCTGTATGCCAGGCACAGTTCTAGATGCTAGAGTTACAGCGGTGAACAAAGCAAAGTGCTGACTGTTGCGTAATTTACGTACATTCTACTCTAGTAAATAAAGAAAACCAGAGTCAGAAAAGAAGTTAGCAACAATAGTAATACCAAAAGAGGAGAGGAGCCAGGAAAGCAGCAGAGGTAGGACTCTACCACTCCTGCCTTTTGAACTGTCTGCTCAATCTATAGAAACCAATAGAATATTGACCAAATCTTATGTTTGTCAAAAAATTAAATTGAAGCTACTTAAAACAAAAAACTTGAAATTAAAATAATCCCTCATTGAAGACCAATGTTTCTAAATGCAAAGGAACATTTAATGTCTCTACTAGAAATTGGGCAATCTATCGGAGTCCTTAGAAACCATGCCTACTCTATTTATGCTTTAACTAAGTTTTATACTATTTATGGGAGATAAAACAAAATGGGTCAATGTGATAGGTCAAATAAGCAAACAATGAGAAATTAAATTCAAAGATATAACTCATGATGTAGCCAAATG